GCATTTTTTATCGACTTAGGTCAGTCGCGGCCGAGATTCGAACTTACGATCTCCTGATCACGGAGCAAGCGCTCTACCGACTAAGCTACGGTGAATGGTATATAATGCTAAGATTGATTGATTGATTGTATGTTCTTTTACGTCCCATTCGAGAACTTTACACTCATATAGAGACGTCACCATATACCGGTGAAGGGCTTCAAATTTTGACCTTTACTCGGCACTCAGGGCCATTGAACAGTGAGGGATTTTTATCGTGCCAACGTCTGTCGTGATACGGGGCCTCGGTTTTAAAGGTCTCATCCGAAGGACCCGCAACTTTCACTTCGAAGTGCCGAGCGCATGGCGAAGGAACAGTTGCTACCCATTTTTTATCGACTTAGGTCTGTCGCGGCCGAGATTCGAACTCACGACCTCCCGATCACGGAGCGAGCGCTCTACCGACTGAGCTACCGTGAACGGTATATAATGCTAAGAAGAATACTATATAGATTAATAAAACCGCTGCACAAATCCTAGGCATTTTCACATTTGATCGGAATTTGAAGAAACTTATACCAGACTGTACATTTTTGCCCTGATTCAACTCAAAACTTTACATATAGTTATTAAACAACTGAGCTGTGGATATTCGTTCAGCAATATCAGCTCTCCTTGGAAAAGTTTGCTTCTAAATATACCTTGTTTCATCAGTTAAATAAAATAGAGCATGTCCTTGCGCCGAAGCATTTATGCTGATATCCTTTATTATTTACATTTGCAAATATTTTTCTTAGATGAACCTATTGAAGAGAAAATATGTTCAATTCTGTATGAACTTATTAGGGGGTCAGAGGTCATGGCGTGACCGAATCACACAGCGAGATGATATCTTGTCTACATATTTCTGTCACGGTGACACTGGTTTCGGAACTTCTAAGCCGTTAAAGCGATGAAAAAGATAAAATTATTAAAACATATATGTTTTTTTTTTCGTTCAACAAATGATCATTAGTTCTTTCTTCGGTGTGAAGAATGTGTAGATTAGCCTAAAATCACGCTTACCTTTTTAACCCGAAAGTCCTTTGAAGGTATGTAAACTGAAGACGATACCACAGCTTTTGACTTCATATATTAAGAACTCATACAATAAAAGTAAGATTTTTCTCAGTAGCGATCATAGTTCTTTCATTATGAACAGATATTTCCTGAACTGGACTGCTTGAACAGATATTTCCTGAACTGGACTGCTGAACATCAATGTAAGTATTCAAATGTTGGAGCGAGGCGAACTCTCACGACCAAACAGCTTCTAGGTCATTGCGCGTCACAACATAGAAATATGGCGGGCCGTTCGTGTAATAAATGCAGTTCTTTTCAGAATTTTCGTCTCAAATGTAAATAAAAGTAATAAACAACAATGTTAAAAAGTTCACTGGGAAATGAACTTGGTTGGTACGTGATCAAATCTTCTGAGAAGCCCTTCGGGCTTCACAGGATTTGATCACGTGACCAACCAAGTTCATTTCCCAGAGAACTTTTTAACATTGTTGTTTATTTCTTAATAATCTTGTGTAGTAAAAAAAAACAATGACGTCATAATATGACGTCATAATGTGCACTGGCTATATCATGTCGTGGGTACCAAATATGTATTAGAGAATAAGTTTTAACTTTCTCTGTATAATGGATATTGTCCTTAGGCACTTCATTTAGTTTATCTACATAGAAAAGTCTATACCTAGCCTTAACTCACTTGCGAAACAACATATTTTTGATTAAAAAAGAATTTATTGAGCATTTCAAGATTTTAATCTTTGGTTTACTTTTGTGGATAAATTGCTCTTGAATTCTTCACGACAAGATCACGAATATGAAGAGAAACTGGCTTCGGTTCTTTAACATTGATGATAAACTTAATTTGATATGAATTGAAATGAGATACCATTCATGGAATTATTCCATTCAAACCACAAACATCATCATGTGACAACATTGCAACTTTTACTACGTCCTAAGGTCCTAAGGTTGTTATGGCAGATAATATATGTCTCTTTTTGTGTTATGTAAACATTTATTTTTCTCAAAATATTGTTAAGAATATACATTTAGAGATTTTGCAATAATTTATAATAACTAAAATATTATAAACCGTCTTTAATTTTCAGATTCCATACAATCTTGAATTATAGTGAAAAAAAAAATCTTTTTTCAATCAAAGAGGTGACTGTGGTTCGTACTTTCTTTTGGGTAAAATATTATTTATGTTTCCTCATGCTGCACAAACTCACCGCAGCTCTGTTTTTGCTGAGTTATAATCAATGAAATCAACACCATGTTGAGATGAAATATGTCATTTATTAAAAATGACGAAAATAAGAAATATATATACATAAACATGATAGGGGATCAGACCAAAAGGTATTCACACAATACATGTCAATATGCTGATCCCCTAAATTTACAGATAAACAATATTTGCAAAAAATATAAAAAACAGTAAGTATACAGCAAAAAGATGGCACATCAAAAATAAATATGCCACCAAATGTGATTGCCAAACATAATTGGCAATCACATTGTGCCATTCAAGGTGAGGTTGTGCACAAAAATACAAATGTAAACTATATTTCACTGGTTTATACATGATAAAAATGAACATTAAGCTATACCAGCAGTTAAACACTGACCTGGCATCTGTTTCTGCAAGAATTGCTTTACACAAAAAGATTGTGCATATGAAATACATATAAACATGAAAGTCATCTGGTGGATGTAACCAGCAGGCAGTGGTTATATTAATTCGAAAAGAAAATGATTGTCAACATGCACCTAACAGCTTACATATACAAATAATGAAAATAATCATTTCACAAAGACAAATAATTAAAACAACTTAACAATACAGCAGTTAAACACTGACCTGTACTGTGGAAATGTAACTACATCTACATATATACACCTTATAAGACAGGTACTGAGATCAAAAGAGAGAGACATCCCTCCTTAATACTTGTAACATCTCTTAAATAAAATTTAAGCAGCAGTTACACACTGACCTGCAACCTAACTTAATAGCAGCAGTTAAACACTGGCCTGCAACAAACTTAATAGCAGCAGTTAAACACTGACCTGCAAACTTACACGTAACCAGTAGTAGCAGCAGTTAGACACTGACCTGCCCTGGGATGGACTGATATAGAAAAAAGGGGGGAGGGAGGAGGGAATCCTATATTTTATTACAACTGAAACGATTTAATTCTAATATATCTGTGCAAAACATTCGAGTTCCATCTGCCTAAATGTTGAATGAAAGTCTCAGAATACCCTAACTGTGCAGCATGCGTTGCTGCACCTATACGAAAACTGTGCCCCTTATAACGTTTGGGATCCAGACCTGCAAATGCTATTGCTTTTGAAAGTTCACTACTGACATAAGAATATGTGACTGGAGTGCCATTGACAAACTGGAAGAAGGGGCCTGACACATGTGGAAATAATGATTTATACTTATAAAGATTATGCACTGGACAAAATTGTGAACTAGGGTTGGCTTGAATAGATATAATGATGGGCTCATTTTTCTGTTGAGATTTATGGTGCCTAAGAACAATTTGAACTGCTGAAGGACTGCATTTTTCTCCACTGAAAATAATGTCTTGTATTTGCAGAACTTTGTCCTTATCTGCTAGAGTTTTTGAGATAACTTCCCCTAAACGCAGAAATGCATTAAAACATAAAAGGAAAAGGGCTTGCAAAAGAACCTGATTTAAAGCTTGTGGAACAGTAAAGACTAGTGCAGCCAAAATTTTGTGCATGATATTTTTTGTTATTGGCAATCTAGCATCCTGAGTGGGTAGTAGCTTGTGACAACCTTTCAGTAGTTTGCGCACAATAAAAGTTTGAGTTGGATCTGGCAAATTGATAATTTTGTGAACATAACCTAATGCCGATATATGTGAGGCAATGCTGCTAGAACTGTATTGTTTCTCAAAAAGAAAACCAATGAAGTTACATATGTCTGTAATAGGCAATGGTAGAGATACTGGATCTTTTCTGTAATTGAGGAAAAGTTGCCACGAATGTCTATAAGCATATCGTGCAGGAGGTGATAAAGCTGCCACAAGGACTGAACGAGTTGAAGAGGTCAAATCTGTAATAGGTGTGCCGGAATGACAGTTGCCTGTTGTTCTAAGTATGGTGCTACCTGTCGTGCTTTCTGAAATTGCAAACGTGACAAACTGTCAGCTACCACATTGTATTTGCCTGGAATATGCTTAGCTTTAAAGAAGATATTATTTGATAGACAAACCAATACCAAACGGCGAAGTAGATGCATAAGATTTTTTTCTTTACTCGACTGTTTATTTATTACCTCCACCACAGCCATATTGTCTGACATAAAAAGAATTTTTCTATTTGCCATTTCTGAGCCCCAAATTTCTAGAGCTAATACAATTGGAAACAACTCCTTCACTGCAATTTGCATGGGAAAAAGAGACTCTGTCCATTCAGCTGCAAACCATTTACATCCAAACACAGCAGCAAACCCTAATAAACCAGAAGCATCTGTAAATAATCGGGTGATATCTGATGATTCCCATTCCTCTGGAAAAAGAACTGATTTTCCATTAAAATTTTCTAGGAAGTGCAGCCACATTGCCAAATCTGCTCTTACCTCCTTATTAAAACGGATAAGGTAATGAGGTTTCACAATCCCTATTGTCAAATCGATTAACCGGCGTAAAAAAGCCCTACCAGGAACCACTACCAAACATGCAAAGTTTAACACTCCAATTAATGACTGAAGTTCCCGTAATGCAACCTTCTTCCTGTTTATAAACTGACGCACTAAATTTTTACATTTCTCGAGTTTGTCAAGTGGAAGGCGGCTCACCATATCAACGGAATCTACCTCAATACCATAAATAGTAATGCATGTCACTGGCCCGAAGGTTTTTTATGTGGAAGAATTAACATTCCTCCACATAACGACAAAAAGTTGTTCAAATCATGTTTGCATTTCTGTGAGTTTGGAGGCCCAATGAAAAAGAAATCATCCAAAATATGAGACATGCCTGAAGCCTTCAGTTTGTTTAACATTACCCATTGAAGAGCTGTACTTAACTGTTCAAATAATTGACAAGAACTGCTTGCCCCCATTGGCAGACAACGCTCATAATAAAATTGACCTTGCCATGTAAAACCCAAAAGATGATAATCAGACGGATGTACTGGTATAATTCGAAAGGCATCTTTAATATCTGATTTAGCCATAAGAGAACCTTTCCCAAACTGACGTACCAGTGCTACAACAGTGTCAACTGAATCATAATGAACTTCAGAACATTCTTTAGGAATATTTGAATTGACTGAATCCTGGGCTGGAAAAGAAAGATCATGAATAATTCTGTATTTATTTGGTTCAGATTTAGGGACAACCCCCAATGGAGAAGTTTTAAAAAGTGGTAGGGGTGGATGTGTAAATGGGCCTGAAATTCTTTGCCTACTTAAACCTGCATTAATATAGTCATCTACAATATCTGGGTGTTCATAGGTTGATTTGTGATTATGAGGAGGGTGAATGGAAGGGGTTTTGACACACCCTAAACGGAAACCAAATGTGAACCCTGAAACTAGAAAATTCAGTTTTTCTTTTTCATAACCTTCTAACTCACTTTTGAGTTGTACTGGGTTTACTGGAGTTGGAAGGGCTACTGCCATTTCTAATTGAGGAAGATGAGTTGGACCGTATGCCTGTACATTGAACTCGGGGGTGGGGACCATGACAGTCTTGGCAGGTATGGGAAAATCTACAAGGGTGGGAGTTACACTTTTGCCCTTTGTTGTACGCGAAGCAGTATTTGGGACGAAAAGGCTGTCGTTTGCCACTACTCCCTTGCAATTTGTTTGGAGACCTAATTCCCACAGAGGCTGCCTTTAACCGTAACTCTGTTACTACTCTTTCCCATGGTAAGAGGGATGTCTCCCTAATTTTCCTAAAAGACTCATCATAAGTCCTCCATGCTTGCTCACCATGGAGCTTGCTTATGTCACGAATAGTAAACATATATTTCAACAGATTGCTTGCCTCCTGAGGGAATTTCTGTAGATATATGGTACTAAATATCAAAAATGCATCTGTCCATTGATGGATTGTTATTGGATTTTTATTTGATGATGTTTGCTGCAGTTCAATTTTACCAGCTTTTACCATAATTGAAAGGGGCTCTTCATTTGAGTTGGGTAAAAGAAGTTTCAGGTCAACAAATTCATTATTCCAAATTTTAAGTTTTAATTTGGAGGAAACTGTAGCCCCAAGAGGCACGCAATCTGTTAATTGAATTTGTGGATTAGTGTCAGAATTACTGCCTGCTGGCTCACCTGTAAAAACATTGTCCAGAAGTGCACCAAGTGCAGAGGCTGGGACCATGGCACTAGCTTGTGGGGTACCATCTGTAACACTCGTAGTTGCTGCAGGGTTAACTAGCTCACTGCTGGACTGTGGCTCCTTGTTTTGGATAACTGATGTGGATGCTTCCCCATGTTGGCTCACGGTTGCCTCAGCAAGTCCATTCTCACTGGATGTTAATTTCTGTTGTTCAGTTAATATGTGTTTTGCCAGTAGTGTGTAGTCAATGGTTGGCAGAGCACTCTGCATCACAGTCTCTGTCTGTTGAGTAGGAGTCACTCGCTTTCGCTTTCTCCCTGTGCTGGAGGAACTGGACTGCTCATCTGCTGCGAGTTCCCCTTTTTTGCTTCTTTTCTTTGGTGGCATTGCTTCTGAAGAAGAGAATATTATTAAAAAACAAAACTCTACAGATTTAGTCTCATCTCACAATGATAATGGCAATACATATTTCAAGTATATGAATGCCAGCTGTGAGATTGTGAACTTGCAATTTTTTTTTTTTTTTTTTAACAGAGTGGGGAATACTGATTCCTAAGCGAAGACAAAATAGTTATCCAAAACAGGTTAGACACATTATGGCACAATTACAGAGAGTCTAATTGACGACATCTGAGTACCTAGCTAACAGCTGTACTCTATTACATGATGAAAATCATTTACCAAATGTCTATAGTTTAACTCCCCACAAAATCCCTGAATTGAATAACTCCTATAACCAAAACTATGTAAATAACAGAGTATCTTTGACTCCTAATTACATATTCAAATTAAACTAAATAAAATTATGTAAAGAAATCTGACCCCAAAATATCTGGGTAACTCCGACCCACACTAAACATGTAAACAACAGAGTAACTCTGACTCCTAACTACATGTTACATTAATCAGAAAATATATGGGTAACTCCGACCCACACAAACATGTAAATAACGGAGTAACTCTGACTCCTAATTACATGTTACATTAATCAGAAAATATATGGGTAACTCCGACCCACACAAACATGTAAATAACAGAGTAACTCTGACTCCTAATTACATGTTACATTAATCAGAAAATATATGGGTAACTCCGACCCACACAAACATGTAAATAACAGAGTAACTCTGACTCCTAATTACATGTTACATTAATCAGAAAATATATGGGTAACTCCGACCCACACAAACATGTAAATAACAGAGTAACTCTGACTCCTAATTACATGTTACATTAATCAAAAAATATATGGGTAACTCCGACCCACACAAACATGTAAATAACAGAGTAACTCAGACTCCTAATTACATGTTACATTAATCAAAAAATATATGGGTAACTCCGACCTACACAAACATGTAAATAACAGAGTAACTCTGACTCCTAATTACATGTTACATTAATCAAAAAATATATGGGTAACTCCGACCCACACAAACATGTAAATAACAGAGTAACTCAGACTCCTAATTACATGTTGACTTTATTCAAACAAATTAAATGGGTACACTCTGACCCACACGAACATGTACATGTAAATACCGCCAACACACTGACTCCTAAACACCTGTTGACATAAGACTAAATATATATTGGGTTTTACTAAAACTGCCCCAACATGTAAATAAAAGAGATACACTGACTCCTAATTACATAATGAACTCAGATCATTTGATGAATAGTATGTGTAATTCTCTGATTCTGACCTAGAAGGCATCAAGAAATATCTAACTGGTTTTACAGGGCAATAACAACAACTAAAATTAAAACATGTGTCATACTTGATTGTTATATATTCAACTACCTATCATACCTGCCTTTTGTGTGCAAACTGAGGTATCTGTCTTTTAATTAGGCACAATTGATATTTAACTCTTCATCTTCAAATGTCACATTGAGAGCATGTCTCAAATCAACACAATATTATCGTGTATGTTTGTTGTTTAATTGTGACATAGAAATACTTTAGTGCTCATAAAAAAATGAACAATATGCAAGGCAAAAATTATACTGGCCTTAGTAATTTAGAAAGCAGGATCACCGCATTCCTGACACTGCGGAGATATTTCCTCATAGGCTGGTCCTCAGTAGGGGCACAGAGCAGATGGACACCATCTGGTCCTAGATATTGCAGGTCATTCCAGAAGGGAAAATCTATAAGCCCGTTATCTGAAACAACCGGAAGCCCGTGAAGTCAAGTACACAAAAAATGCATACGTCATTTTTACTTTCGCTTTTAACTTGCAGCCGTGCTATCGACAATCGTTCATTAGAAAGTGATCAGGCTATGTGAAAATATCTTCAATTGCAGAATCGGTAACAGGGTTTAGATTAGAAAATAGAGACGAAAAGTGTATACGAGGTTGGGTTTTGTCAGAGGAAATCCTTCAGCAATTCATTGAAGTACGTTCAATCAGCACGGGATGTCAATTTGTGTCGTGGTAAGTAAGATTTGTTTTAAAGTATATTTTCGGACGGAAATGTTAATTTTATAAAATATGCCCATATCTTCAAAACATGTAATCTATTTAATAGACTAACTTATAGTTACATGTTATCAATAAATGACATTTTCATTAGATCTTCTATTTAACCTTTCTAAGCCCGTTGCAAATTTACTAATTATTTTCTTTAAAGAAAATTAATTACGGAGAGGAAATATAGACATAAAAAAGTTCTATGGAAAGTTTTTAACTTTTAAAAACTAATTTATAATTCAGTTTTAAAAAAGAGACCTTTATTTAAAAAATTAAACAGACATAAAAAATGCACATATTATTTTTTCAGAAATTCATATCCAAATAAGGGGGATGAATCATATTCTATCAGAAAGATAGATTCCTTATTTCCAAATCAGGGCCCGTTCAGGCATCACAAACAACAAGCATGATTTATACAATTACAAACAGCACAGACTAATTTTGTGTATATATACTAAATAATATAAACTCAGAGGAAAACATAGGTAATCAAAGATTACGAAGCTCACCTCGACGAATGTTATCTACATGTAAGGCAAATTTCACATCATATTTTTTTTCTAGTTAGGGTACATCCCAAGATCAATGGCCATGCAAGTTTGATTTAATTATAGACCTGCTCAAAAAACTTTTGACCTGTTTAGTAATCAAGGTAATTTTTGTCACTTCCAACATCCAAAGCAAGTCTGGAAGTTTTCATCCTTAGATGCCCCATCTATGCAAGTTTAATCATAACAGGCCATAATATTATATAGCTACTCCAAAAAATTACCCTGGTCACTCATCTGGAAAATGTACATCAGATTCAGAATCCAAGGCAAGTCTGGAAGTGTCCATCCCTAGATACATCATCCATGCTAATTTGGTTAAAATATGGCTAAAATTCACTCATGTGGAAAATCTAGGTCAGATCCAGCATTCGAAGCAGGTTGGTTAGTGTACATCCCTAGATGCATCATCCATGAAAGTTTGGTCCAGGTAGGGCTTATAGTTACTTGGAAACGAGACTACTCCTAAATCTAAACCTGGTCTCACATGTGGAAAATCTAGGTCAGATCCAGCATCCGAAGCAAGTGTGGTAGTGTCCATCCCTGGATGCATCATCCATGCAAGTTTGGTCCGGGTAGGGCTTATAGTTACTTGGGAATGGACCTGCTCCTAAAACTTTAACCTGGTCACTCATCTGGAAAATCTAGGTCAGATCCAGCATCCGAAGCAAGTGTGGTAGTGTCCATCCCTAGATGCATCATCCATGCAAGTTTGGTCAAGGTAGGGCTTATAGTTACTTGGGAATGGACCTGCTCCTTAAACTTTAACCTGGTCACTCATCCGGAAAATCTAGTTCAGATCCAGCATCCGAAGTAAGTGTGGCCATGTCCATCCCTAGATGCATCATCCATGCAAGTTTGGTCCAGGTAGGGCTTATAGTTACTTGGGAATGGACCTGCTCCTAAAACTTTAACCTGGTCACTCATCTGGAAAATCTAGGTCAGATCCAGCATCCGAAGCAAGTGTGGTAGTGTCCATCCCTAGATGCATCATCCATGCAAGTTTGGTCAAGGTAGGGCTTATAGTTACTTGGGAATGGACCTGCTCATTTAACTTTAACCTGGTCACTCATCCGGAAAATCTAGTTCAGATCCAGCATCCGAAGTAAGTGTGGCCATGTCCATCCCTAGATGCATCATCCATGCAAGTTTGGTCCAGGTAGGGCTTATAGTTACTTGGGAATGGACCTGCTCCTAAAACTTTAACCTGGTCACTCATCTGGAAAATCTAGGTCAGATCCAGCATCCGAAGCAAGTGTGGTAGTGTCCATCCCTAGATGCATCATTCATGCAAGTTTGGTCCAGGTAGGGCTTATAGTTACTTGGGAATGGACCTGCTCCTTAAACTTTAACCTGGTCAGTCATCTGGAAAATCTAGGTCAGATCCAGCATCCGAAGCAAGTGTGGTAGTGTCCATCCCTAGATGCATCATCCATGCAAGTTTGGTCCAGGTAGGGCTTATAGTTACTTGGGAATGGACCTGCTCCTAAAACTTTAACCTGGTCACTCATCCGGAAAATCTAGGTCAGATCCAGCATCCGAAGCAAGTGTGGTAGTGTCCATCCCTAGATGCATCATCCATGCAAGTTTGGTCCAGGTAGGGCTTATAGTTACTTGGGAATGGACCTGCTCCTAAAACTTTAACCTGGTCACTCATCCGGAAAATCTAGGTCAGATCCAGCATCCGAAGCAAGTGTGGTAGTGTCCATCCCTAGATGCATCATCCATGCAAGTTTGGTCAAGGTAGGGCTTATAGTTACTTGGGAATGGACCTGCTCCTAAAACTTTAACCTGGTCACTCATCTGGAAAATCTAGGTCAGATCCAGCATCCGAAGCAAGTGTGGTAGTGTCCATCCCTAGATGCATCATCCATGCAAGTTTGGTCAAGGTAGGGCTTATAGTTACTTGGGAATGGACCTGCTCCTAAAACTTTAACCTGGTCACTCATCTGGAAAATCTAGGTCAGATCCAGCATCCGAAGCAAGTGTGGTAGTGTCCATCCCTAGATGCATCATTCATGCAAGTTTGGTCCAGGTAGGGCTTATAGTTACTTGGGAATGGACCTGCTCCTTAAACTTTAACCTGGTCAGTCATCTGGAAAATCTAGGTCAGATCCAGCATCCGAAGCAAGTGTGGTAGTGTCCATCCCTAGATGCATCATCCATGCAAGTTTGGTCCAGGTAGGGCTTATAGTTACTTGGGAATGGACCTGCTCCTAAAACTTTAACCTGGTCACTCATCCGGAAAATCTAGGTCAGATCCAGCATCCGAAGCAAGTGTGGTAGTGTCCATCCCTAGATGCATCATCCATGCAAGTTTGGTCAAGGTAGGGCTTATAGTTACTTGGGAATGGACCTGCTCCTAAAACTTTAACCTGGTCACTCATCCGGAAAATCTAGGTCAGATCCAGCATCCGAAGCAAGTGTGGTAGTGTCCATCCCTAGATGCATCATCCATGCAAGTTTGGTCAAGGTAGGGCTTATAGTTACTTGGGAATGGACCTGCTCCTAAAACTTTAACCTGGTCACTCATCTGGAAAATCTAGGTCAGATCCAGCATCCGAAGCAAGTGTGGTAGTGTCCATCCCTAGATGCATCATCCATGCAAGTTTGGTCAAGGTAGGGCTTATAGTTACTTGGGAATGGACCTGCTCCTAAAACTTTAACCTGGTCACTCATCTGGAAAATCTAGGTCAGATCCAGCATCCGAAGCAAGTGTGGTAGTGTCCATCCCTAGATGCATCATCCATGCAAGTTTGGTCCAGGTAGGGCTTATAGTTACTTGGGAATGGACCTGCTCCTAAAACTTTAACCTGGTCACTCATCTGGAAAATCTAGGTCAGATCCAGCATCCGAAGCAAGTGTGGTAGTGTCCATCCCTAGATGCATCATCCATGCAAGTTTGGTCCAGGTAGGGCTTATAGTTACTTGGGAATGGGACTTGCTCCTAAAACTTTAACCTGGGACGCCGACGCTAACGCCGACGCCGACACCGACGCCGACGCCGGGGGTATAGCATAAGCTCATCTCGACTTCGTCGAGGTGAGCTAAAAAGGGGGAGGGTTGAGAGTCACCTACTGATTTCATAGAAAATAGTTCATATTACCCTATGTATGCATGGCATTGTTCAAACCAGAAATATGACAATCTTGTTATATCAAGAGAACTGAGTAAGAGGCCCGTGATTTCACTGACACCGTATATAGAACTGAGTCTGAGGCCCGTGACTTCACCAACTCCCTATACATGTATAGAACTGAGTCTGAGGCCCGTGACTTCACCCACACCCTATATAGTACTGAGTATTATGAGGCCCATGACTTCACCGACACCCCATATAGTATCGAGTCTGAGGCCCATGACTTCACCGACACCTATATAGAACTCAGTATGAGGCCCATGACTTCATCAACACCCCATATTGTACCGAGTCTGAGGCCCCTGACTTCATCGACACCCTATATACAACTGAGTCTGAGGCCTGTGACTTCACCGACACCCTATATAGTACTCAGTATGAGGCCCGTGACTTCATCGACACCCCATATAGTATTGAATCTGAGGCCCATGACTTCACCAATACCCTATATAGAACTCAGTTTGAGGCCCGTGACTTCATCGACACCTCATATAGTATTGAGTCTGAGGCCCGTGACTTCACCGACACCCTATATAGAACTGAGTCTGAGGCCCATGACTTCACCAACATCCTATATAGAACTGAGTCTGAGGGCTGTGACTTCACCAACACCCTACATTGAACTGAGTCTGAGGCCCGTGACTTCACCTACAACCTATATAGAACTAAGTATGTTGCCTGTGACTTCATTGACACCCCATAGAGTACTGAGTCTGAGGCCCATGACTTCACCGACAACCTATATAGAACTCAGTATGTTGCCCTTGACTTCACTGACACTCTATAGAGTACTGAGTAAGAGGCCCGTGACTTCACCAACACCCTATATAGAACTGAGTTTGAGGCAACTTCACCGACACCTATATAGTACTAAGTCTGAGGCACGTGACTTCTTCAACACCCCATATAGTACCGAGTCTGAGGCCCGTGACTTCACCGACACCCTATATAGAACTGAGTCTGAGGCCCGTGACTTCACTGACACCCTATATCAAACTCAGTTTGAGGCCTGTGACTTCATCAAAACCCAATATAGTACAGAGTCTGAGGCCTGTGACTTCACTGACACCCTATACAGAACTGAGTCTGAGGCCCATGACTTCAATAACACCCTATATAGTACTGAGTATGAGGCCCGTGACTTCATCAACACCCCATATAGTACTGAATCTGAGGCCCGTGACTTCACCGACACCCTATATAGAACTCAGTTTGAGGCCCATGACTTCACCGACACTTCATATAGTATTGAGTCTGAGGCCCGTGACTTCACCGACAACCTATATAGAACTCAGTTTGAGGCCCGTGACTTCATCAACACCCAATATAGTACAGCGTCTGAGGCCTGTTACTTCACCGACACCCTATACAGAACTGAGTCTGAGGCCCGTTACTTCACCAACACCCTATTTAGTGCCGAGTATGAGGCCCGTGACTTCACCGACACCCTATATAGTATTATGTCTGAGGCCCGTGACTTCACCGACACCCTATATAGAACTAAGTATGAGGCCCGTGACTTCACCAACACCCTATATAGTATTGAGTCTGAGGCCCGTGACTTCACCAACACCCTATATAGTGCCGAGTATGAGGCCCGTGACTTCACCGACACCCTATATAGTATTATGTCTGAGGCCCATGACTTCACCGACACCCTATATAGAACTATGTATGAGGCCCGTGACTTCACCAACACCCTATATAGAACTAAGTATGAGGCCCGTGACTTCACCGACACCCTATATAGTATTGAGTCTGAGGCCCATGACTTCACCGACACCCTATACAGAACCGAGAATGAGGCCCTTGATATTACCAACACCCTATATAGAACTGAGTCTGAGGCCCGTGACTTCACTGACACCCTATAAAACCACTATGGACGGTCAAAGTTGTACATAGGAATATTTAGGAAAAATCTTCTTCTCAAGAACAGCAAAGCCATTGGTTGGTCATAATTATATGGAAGCATCATCAGATAGTTTAGAGTCATGTTTGTTCAAAGTATGAACCCCGAGGATAGGTTAAGGTCACAATGAAAGTTGAAATTTGTAGGCAAAAAGTCACACTTATTCAAAAAAATATGTAAGCATCCTTAATGACTGTAGATTCAATTTTGTAAAAATCATTTCCCGGCCCACCCTTATCCCTGATAGGGGTAGGTCGAGGGCACTTATACATTTAAGCTTTTTAATACTAAACTGATGTTTGCTTTTTCCTAGCCACAGTGTTCAGGTGAGCTATGTGGCCCGTGGGCCTCTTGTTATCATTTTAGCTCACCCGAGTCAAAAGCTCAAGTGAGCTTTTCTGATCACTTTATGTCCGGCGTCTGTCTCTCTGTAAAGTTTTAACATTTTCGACTTCTTCTCAAGAACCACTGGGCCAACCAAACTTGATACAGAGTATCCTTGGGTGAAGGGGATTCAAGTTTGTTCAAATGAAGGGCCACACCCTCTTTCAAAGGGAGATAATGAAGAATTAGTGAAAAATTAATAGCATCTTTTGAAAATCTTCTTCTCTTGAACCACAGGGCCAGGAAAGATGAAACTCATGTGGAAGCATCCTCAAGTAGTGTAGATTCAAGTTTGTTCAAATCATGACCCCTGGGGGTAGGGTGGGGACAAAATGGAGGATCAAAGTTTTACATACAAATATATAGGAAAAATCTTTCAAAATCTTCTTCTCAAGAGCAGCAAAGCCATGGTGAGTCATATTTTTATGGAAGCATCCTCAGGTAGTGTAGATTCAAGTTTGTTAAAATGATGACCCCCGGGGATAGGGTCGGGCCACAATGGGGGATCAAAAATTTTACATAGGAACATAATATTGGAAAATATCTTCTCAGGAACTGAAAATCATATTTAGTGATATTGATATGAAAACATCCTCAGGTAGTGTATATTCAATTTTGTTCAAATGATGACCCCTTGGGGTAGGTAGGGGCCCAATGGGGGGTCAAAAGTTTTACATAAGAACATATAGAAAAAATATTTCTTCTCAAGAACAGAAAAGCTATGTTTAGTCATATTGATATGGAAGCATCCTCAGGTAGTGTAGATTTAAGTTTGTTCAAAAGATGACCCCTGGGATAGGGAGGAGCCACAATGGGGGATCAAATTTTTACAAAGGAATATGTGGGAAAAATATTTTAAAATCTTTTCTAGTACAACAAGCCATTTGTTATATTGACATGACATCAGGTATACGTAGTTTAAAATTCAAACCCCCCGTAATCTTTTCAAAACTGAACTGATTTGTGCTTTTGCCTAGCCAATGTGCTCAGGTGAGCGATGTGGCCCATGGCCCTCTTGTTTTTAGGTCACCTGAGTCACTCAGGTGACCTATTGCTATCTCTTTTTGTCCGTCGTCGTGCGTCGTCCGTCGGGCGTAAACTTTTGAACATTTTCAGCTTCTTCTCTGGAACCAGTGAACCAATTTCAACCAATTTTGGCATATAGCATCTATAGGTGAAGGGGAACAAAAATTATGAAATTCGTGGCCCCTGCCCCCCTGGGGCCTGAGGGGTGGGGCCAAAACCATCAAAATTAATGCAATCTTTAAAAATCTTCTTCTTTACTCCTGGACATCAACCAGTCAAACTGTAGGCATGATTGTAATAAGCATTGAGCCCTTTACCAAAATTGTGAAATTCATGGCCCCAGGGTCAGGGGTTCTGGTGCTAGGGCGGGGCTATATAGATCATATAGTGAAAATGCATTAATTCTTTGAAAATCTTCTTCTCTGCTCCTGGGTATTAAATAAAGTAACTAAGTACATAGTTATGAAGAGCAAGAGTGCCTTTTCCAAAATTGTGAAATTCATGGCCCCAGGGTCAGGGGTTCTGGTGTTAGGGCAGTGTTCTATTGATTATATAGTGAAAATGCATAAATTTGATGAAAATCTTCTTCTCTGCTCCTGGGCATTAAATAAAGTATGGCAAAACCAAAAAATATGTGTGGTTCCGGTTACATCTCCAAAAATATTAGGGTAGGTAGGTAGGGAATTTTTTTTTTTTTTTTTTTTTTTTTTTTTTTACAAAATGATTTTCTTAATTTTTCTAAATAATACCTATCACTGCTTTGCAAGTGGCATTTAGATGTGGTGTGATAATATACTAGTCAACATTGGTAGGGGACACCTACATGCTAGCTCGATTTGGATTTAACACTATCAAAAACTTGCACTATGTGTTGAAATGATGTTTTGCAAGGAGACCGCCATCGCTGAAACTAAAACTAATACTGGAGCCGATGATGGAAGTTGGGGGAAATTCTCGAAAAAATATAAAAATTGCCGGAAAAAAGTTTAGGTCGGGGGTATAAAATAGGGACGGTCGGGTAACCGGAACCACACATATTTTTTATTTGGCCTAACTAAGTACATAGTTATGAAGAGCAAGAGTGCCTCTTTCAAAATTGTGAAATTCATGGCCCCAGGGTCAGGGGTTCTGGTGTTAGGGCGGTGCTCTATTGATTATATAGTGAAAATGCATTAATTCTTTGAAAATCTTCTTCTCTGTTCCTGGGTATTAAATAAAGTAACTAAGTACATAGTTATGAAGAGCAAGAGTGCCTCTTCCAAAATTGTGAAATTCATGGCCCCAGGGTCAGGGGTTCTGGTGTTAGGGCAGGGCTCTATCGACTATATAGTGAAAATGCATAAATTTGATGAAAATCTTCTCCTCTGCTCCTGGGCATTAAGGTGTTAAACTAAGTACATAGTTATAATGAGGAGGTGGGCCTCTTCCAGAATTGTAAAAGCCATGGCCCCTGGGTCAAGGGTTCTGATGTTAGGGTGGGGCTCTATTGATTATATAGTGAAAATGCATTAATTCTTTGAAAATCTTCTTCTCTGCTCCTGGGTATTATTTAAACAAACTAAGTGCATGGTTATGATGCATAAGGTTGCCTTTTCAAAAAATGTGAATTTCATGGCCCTAGGGTCAGGGGTTCTGGTGTTAGGGCGGGGCTCTATTGATTATATAGTGAAAATGCATTGATTCTTTGAAAATCTTCTCTGCTACTGGAGATTATTTAAACAAACTAAGTGCATGATTATGATAGGCAAGGATGCCTGTCCAAAATTTTTAAATATATGTCCTCAGTTTTTGGGATTCTTGAGGAATGGGGAGGGGGGGGGGGGGGGGCTCTATTGATTATATAGTGAAAAAGCATTAATTCTATTAATTAATCATTAATTAATCCTCGGCCCCTTAGTGTTGAGCTGATAAATAAATTGCTTAGCTATGATGAAAATGGGAGCTTCAAACAGAATTTTTAAATCTTGTGGTCCTAGCGTCAGGGGTTCTGGCATAACGAGGGGGGGGGGGGGGGGCTTTTGATAATATAGTGGAAAAATGTTAATTCTTTGAAGTCGATAGTTATGATGATGAGGGTAACTCTTCCAAATTTGTAAATTTCTTGACCCTTGGTCTTGGGTTCTGGTGTTAGGGTAAGGCTTTGTTGAATCTGTAGTGAAAATGCATTGTACCTGTGAAATTCTTCTCTGCTTCTGGGTATATTGGAAGAAAACTGAGTAAAAGTTTAAATGATATAAGTAAGCGTATTTCTACCAGATTTTTGAACATCTGGACCATTTGTCTAAGCATTCTGGTCCTGGGCAAGGCTCTATTAATTTGTATTCTACTGAGAGAAGTTATTCCCCTTTTCCATTCACCTTTGATAATTAATCACTGTAAATAATGTATTTGAAAGGATAATAGAATAAGATAATTATGCAAGAATGTTTATCATATAATTCAAAAAGTACTTTCATAGTTTTAATAATCAGGTAGACCTGTAAGTAATAGATAAATAAAAATGAGACAAAAATAACTTATCTTATTAAAAGTTCTTCCAAGACCATAAGAGAGGTCAATGCTAGAGGTCTTAATATGGGTTTAAAAATAGTACAGAAGCACTAATAGTTTGTTAATAGTCTGCATGGTGATAGTGTTAAGTGGGGGGCAGATTACAACTTAATTTATGAGTTGATACTGAATACTAGACTAATTATTTTGTTGATCCTGATCTTCCTATTTTTCTTGCTTTAGGGCAACAAAGCTTCATCTATCAGTGTATTTAACTTCTAAATTGTTGTATAAAACTCAGGTGACCGTTAAAGCCCTTGGGCCTCTTGTTTTTTTTTTTTTTTTTTTTTTTTTGGTCACGGGGGCCTTGATTTTGCATTAGAAAGAAAGAGGAATCCTTCATTTAGGAGTATTTAATGTGTTTTCAAATACAGTATTTGAATACCTTTTCAGGTCAATATATACCAGATACCACACTTTTACAGTTCTTGAGAATAACATACTTGAAAAGCTGTTGAGAGAATATCCAGTGTAAGTGTTTCTTTTTCTTTATTTGTCTATCACCATCCCCCTGGGTAAAGAATATGGTAGTTATTGGGGTCTGTTTGTCTGTCCTATCATGAGCCTGAATGATGTACATGTAATCTCCAGCAGCTTGATTTTGTAATATTAGTTTAAAACTCGGCATTGGTATTTCTTATCACTAGTAGATGACTTAAAGTGCTTTTTGTGCAAAAATGAAAGTTCATTCTCAAAGAATTAATATTGAAAGTAAGGTCATTAATGATTGTCATATTGGAAATATATGTTGGGTCCACAATTGGTGATCAAAGTCACATGGGAATAATGAAAAAATCTGCTGATGAAGAACAGCAATGCCATACTGACTCAGGTGAGAGGTGAGAGTTTGGCCCATGGGCCTGTAGCTAATGTTAACAATGTAATTATTCAGGTGTCAATTTGAAAAAAAAATTGCAGACATTAATTTATTTATACCAGATAATTAATTTAATTTAATATTTACATGTATTACACATTTTTATAAACATTTTCAGTTTAGGCATGCCCATCTTAAATCAATGTCTTGATGAAGGAGGCCCTATTCCTTGGTCTGTGTTTGAGAACTGGAATGCCAATTAATAGAAGAGGCAGAGAAAAGATCAGTCAACAAACAGAAATGTCTATGAAGAGGGCCAAAAGAAAACAAAACAATTGAAATGTATACATGTATTGCATGCTGGTATTACTGTATCAGTACTTAGTCTAATTATCTGCAATCTTAATGTCACATTTAATGCATTGCTGATGCATGTAGTTACAATAAACATAACTGGTGTTATATTTGAAATTTAAGAATTTGTTTAATTGTTACCATATGTGCATTGTTAAAGTGAATTCTATATAACTATAAATTTTAAAGAATAATCTTTTCTTATATATTTTTAGGTCACCTGAGTTACTCAGGTGACCTATTGCTATCTCTTTCTATCCATTGTCGTGCGGCGTCCATCGTTAGTAAACTTTTGAACATTTTCAGCTTCTTCTCTGGAACCAGTAAACCAATTTCAACCAGTTTTGGCATATAGCATCTATGGGTGAAGGGGAACAAAAATTATGAAATTTGTGGCCCCTGCCCCCCTGGGGCCTGAGGGGTGGGGCCAAAACCATCAAAATTAATGCAATCTTTAAAAATCTTCTTTACTCCTGGACATCAACCAGTCAAACTGTTGGCATGATTGTAATAAGCATTGAGCCCTTTACCAAAATTGTGAAATTCATGGCCCCAGGGTCAGGGGTTCTGGTAATAGGGCGGGGCTATATAGATCATATAGTGAAAGTGCATTATTTCTTTGAAAATCTTCTTCTCTACTCCTGGGTATTATTTAAACAAATTAAATGCATAGTTATGATAAGGAAGGATGCCTCTTCCAAAATTGTGAAATTCATGGCCCTAGGGACAGGGGTTCTGGTGCTAGGATGGGGCTATATAGATCCTATAGTGAAGGTGAATTATTTCTTTGAAAATCTCTGCCTCTGAGTATTATTTAAACAATTTCATGACCCCAGGTTCAAGGGTTCTGGTGAGGAGGGGGGGGGGGGCTTCTATTGATTATATAAAGTGAAAAAGCAAAATTTCTTTGAAAATATTCTTTTCTGCTTCTGGTTAAAATTAAAGCAAAGAAGCTAAGTGTATACTTATGATGAGCAAGAGTGCTTCTTCCAGAGTAGTGAATTTCATGACCCCAGTGGGTCAGATGTGCTGGTGTAAGGGTGGGGCTCTTGATAATATAGTGAAAATACATTAATTCTATTAAATAATCCTGTTTGCTCCTCAATGTTAAGTAGATAAGCAAAGTGATTACTTATGATGAGCAAACTTCTGGTCCCAGGGTCAGAGGCTCTGGTGTTTCTCGGTGGGGGGGGGGGGGGGGGGGGGGCTCCATTGATAATTTAGTGAATCTGTGGTAAAAATGCATTATTTCTTTAAAAATCTTATCTGCACCTAGGCATATCTGAGGCAAACAGAGTAAAGTTTTTATAAAGAAGGGTATTTTTACCAGATTTTTGAACATCTGGACCATTTGGTCAAATGTTCTGGTCCTGGCCAGGGCTCTATTAATTTGTATTCTACTGAGAGGAGTTATTCCCTTTTGCCATTTACTTTTGATAATTAATCACTGTAAATATTGTACTTGAAAGGTAAATAGAATAAGAGAATTGTGCAAGAATTTTTTTTGTATAATACAAAAAGTATTTTAATAGTTTGAATGATCAGGTAGACTTGTAAGTAGTAGATAAATAAAAATGAGACAAAAATTACTTGTCTTATTAAATGTTCATCAAAGACCAAGAAAGGCCAATGTAAGAGATATCAACGAGGGATTAAAATAGTTCAGAAGCATTGATAATTATTTAATATACTGTATGGTGATAGTGATGAATGGGGACCAGATTAGAACCTAATTTATGAACTGTTAATGAAAATTAAGACTAATTATTTTGTTCATCCTGATCACTCTATTTTTCTTGCTTTTGGGCAACAAAGCTTTACCTTTCAGTTCATTTTATACTCGATGCATCCTTTAAATTGTTGTATTACACTCAGGTGACCGTTAAGGCCCTTGGGCCTCTTGTTTTTTAATAATGGCTAATTTCATTATACATGGATGAACATGATGAAATTGCATTGTTGTAAATTAAAAACAAAGTAAATGACTGCAAACTGACAAAAAAGTGTGAATTTGTGTGTACATTTGTTTACTATTGTAATGAATATTTCTGTTCTTATAATGTGGATTGTTATGTTTATTTCATGGAATACAGTGTAAATGAAGTCACAGGCATATTTCTTAGTACTAGTACTATATATATAGGGATGTCAATGAAGTCATGGGCCTCAAACTTAGTGGTAAATAGGGTGTCGGTGAAGTCACGGGCCTCAGACTCAATACTATATAGGGTGTCAGTGAAGTCACGGGCCTCATACTTAGCTCTATATAGGGTGTCAGTGGAGTCACGGGCCTCAGACTCAATACTATATAGGGTGTTGGTGAAGTCACGGGCCTCATACTCAGCACTATATAGGGTGTTGGTGAAGTCACGAGCCTCATACTCAATACTATATAGGGTGTTGGTGAAGTCACGGGCCTCATACTTAGTTCTATATAGGGTGTCAGTGAAGTCACGGGCCTCAGACTCAATACTATATAGGGTGTCAGTGAAGTCACGGGCCTCAGACTCAATACTATATAGGGTGTCAGTGAAGTCACAGGCCTCATACTTAGCTCTATATAGGGTGTCGGTGGAGTCACGGGCATCAGAGTCAATACTATATAGGGTGTTGGTGAAGTCACGGGCCTCAGACTCAATACTATATAGGGTGTCAGTGAAGTCACAGGCCTCATACTTAGCTCTATATAGGGTGTTGGTGAAGTCACGGGCCTCAGACTCAATACTATATAGGGTGTTGGTGAAGTCATGGGCCTCATACTCAGCACTATATAGGGTGTTGGTGAAGTCACGAGCCTCAGACTCAATACTATATAGGGTGTCAGTGAAGTCACGGGCCTCATTATTAGCTCTATTTAGGGTGTCGGTGAAGTCACAGGCCTCATATTCAGCACTATATAGGGTGTTGGTGAAGTCACGGGCCTCAGACTCAATACTTTATAGGGTGTTGGTGAAGTCACGGGCCTCAGACTCAATACTATATAGGGTGTTGGTGAAGTCACGGGCCTCATACTCGGCACTATATAGGGTGTTGGTAAAGTCACGGGCCTCAGACTCGGCAATATATAGGGTGTTGGTGAAGTCACGGGCCTCATACACGGCTCTATATAGGATGTTGTGAAGTCACGGGCCTCATACTTAGTTCTTTATAGGGTGTCGATGAATTCACGGGCTGTATATCCATAATTACGTTGGCTCTAGACCTTACAAAATTGGGTTTACTATAAATATATACGTTCATTATTTTAGCGAATTTTAAAATTCATTAAATTCATAAAAAAGACAGTAATTTAGGCTAATGTTTTGACTGTTTACCAATACGTCAAGAAGGTACACATAAACGGCTTACGTATCAAAATGTGTGTTTACAATCGAAATCACGGGCTTCCCAACATTGAGTTCACGGGCTTATAGACTCTCCCCATTCCAGAACCCTCTATGTCCCCAATAATGAATACCACATAGGGGGTCGTTCATCTGTTGCACATGTAAATTGATTTCAACCACTGTGGCATTGAAATCTCTGCATGATGCGAACTGCATACGGCGAATTAATTGACCTATAATAATCAATTTCACACCAACTCCGTCACGAAGATATTGTGCAACCGAAATAATATCCATGGCTAAATTTCTGCTATTCGTGGAAGTGGAAATATCATTCTCGCCGATTTGTAAAAACACAACATCCGGGACAGTGTCAAAACACAGAAATTCGGGGTGCACGATGTTTCGGGACCACGACGTTTCGGGACCTGACTAATACGACGTTTCGGGACTAGCAACAAGACGGTTCGGGACTTGGGTAAAGACGATTCGGGACTTGAGTTAATTTTTTTCGGGATCTAAACAAATTATTTTATTATGGTGATATAGCATATTATTCTAATTACACATAGTACGTAATATTTCAAGCTAAATCCGAATTTTAATTTTTATGTATATATATATAATAAAAATTGTCATAAAGATATACTTTGATGGGTTTTTTTTCGTAACAGACGACGAAGAATGAATCTTTACAATATTCATTTTTATTTCTTTTTATTTTTTTATCATTTTTTTTTATTAGTTATTTTTTCTTGTGTGTGTGGTGATGGGGGGGGGATCCAAAATTTAATCTTCTCAGGTTGATGATAGATATTTTAAAATACTCAAGTGATCTCCAGCTACCGTCGAATATATCTTTAAAAAACATGTCAGTAAATTGTTAAAACAACAACTGGGATCAGGTACACATATCCCAACTGATACTCTGTACATAGGGAGGTGTTACGTACATGTATAATGACGCCGCCTGTAATGGGAACTAAAAAGATTGTGTGGTTTCTTTTGAAATTATTTTAAGAAAATAAAAATCTAAAAATATGGAAAAAATATCGTTTGTTTATTGGTAAATGAAATAATTCAGAATCAAACAATAGTTCAACAAAATATGAAGGTTTTCAAAATGTTTTGATCTTGATTTTGTCTACCTTTTCCCAAACGGTTTCAAAAATTTTTTTTTTCCAAAAAGTTTTGGCATAGTATCTGTAAGATTCTTCCCTGGAAATGTTACGAAAACATTTTTAAGGTTTCCAAAACATTGTAAATAAACATATTTTACAAATGTTGCGAGAACATTGGCCCTAAATTTAAAAAAAATACCATACTTTAAAAAAAGCATTAAATGGTATAAACAACATGATTTCATTTGATATCGTTTGAAATAATGTCTTTAAAAACATTTTAAATTTCATCATAGCTTTATCTATTTAATGTGGCAAGGTGGAAATTTGAAATTTAAGTTGACCTGTTAACGTAGTCAATGTGGAATGTCTTTTAAACACTTTTACAACGTACATGCAGCATGAAAAATTTAATATTTGCAAATTAAATAATATTTAGTATTTATTTACAGTATTATTTAAAGTTTGTCATGTACCTAACTATGTAACACCACATATAATATTACGCACTGGTCGGGTATACAAGAAGATCGATAATTGAGTTTCATTGAGATTTGTAGTCTGTGTATACACAGTAAACATAAATTCAGACATCCATACCATTGTAGACAAATTAACAATTTTGATAGTACAATAATATATAGCGGGAATATTTGGGACTTTCGTGGGAATAATTTTTTTCTAATTAAAATAAATGAATAAAATCGATTACTTTCATCATTTTTCTTAAGTCATCGAGTACATGTACTTTGCATAGACGAAGAAATTGTCTAACTTTGAAACGTTAAGATGAAAAATAAGTTAAACGTGTTTATATTTTGAAAATTAGTAAGTTTGGTTTATTTCCAAATGTTGCATACATGGTATATATATATACACCTCATACTTTCAGTAAAATTTACTTTACAAGCTGTTCTTTGACGTTATATATATTTGAAATGTCAAATACATGCTGATTTTCTTACCCATTTTGTTTTTTTTTTTTCCTTCTCTGCTTAACGTATACATGGATGTGTAGGAACTAGTTTATAGCTTAAGTTATAACATTTCTCTTACCTGTAACATTTTGTATAAATTTGCTTTTATGATTTTGTTGCATATATAACCTGAAATAATAATTATAAATTTTATACATTGATGTTTAAAAAGTTGAACATGGGATTTTTCAGATTCTGATTCAAAACAACTACCCGTAAAACGTAAAGTTTTTTACTGCACGTGTGCTAGCTTGAGCCTTTGTAAATTTTGTAAACAAATATGAAATCAAATACCTAAAATTATTATTAAAAAGGAGAGAAAGAAAGTCTTAGAAAGAAAAAACACGTCCGTGGTCTTCACACAGCAGTTACGATTGTCTCCCGGCTTGAATTCTACAAACTCTCGTATCAATTTAAACACTATAGGCCCTAATACTTACTTAAAAAAAAAATTGAATTAAATTTTGGTTAAATGTTAACCAAATACTTTATAAAGGTAATATATCAAATACTGTAATAAGAAATTAAAGAGACAACACCGCGGGCGTTTGATTTTCTCGGCAGGCGTGCTCCATGCCGCAGGCAAACTTTAAAACTAATAAAAACTCCAATCAGTGCTTCTTAAATTATAAATTGTGTATCAAACTGAGAAATTATACATGTATAAACATGTATAAACATAAAAACACAAGTAAACAAGTTTTATTTCATTTCCTTTACAAAATATTTAGAAGTCCCGAAACGTGTTAGCCCAAGTCCCGAAACGTGTTAGCCCAAGTCCCGAAACGTGTTGTCAGGTCCCGAAACGTCGGGGTCCCGAAACATCGCGGTCCCGAAACATCCAGAATTCGAAATTCGGAGCGGGAATCACATTTACTCAATTTCAGTCCTCCTTTCCCTCTGAAAGTAACATGATATTGTTTTGGATCCAAACCCAAATTTTCTGTCCCCTTTTGAACACAATATTCCTTTAGTCTTCTGATGTAAGAGTGTCCGATAACAAAAACGTTCATTGCGGTCATGTTTACAAAACACACTGTACCCCAACCGGAACCAGCTCAAAATGATAGATAACCGCATTCACTAAAAACAACAAAAATGCGTTGCAACACACCTTCTACTCAGGATAAAAGCAGGAATCTTTCTTCTTACTGTGCCAAATTTTTTGTTGTTATCAGTAGCATAGATGAGGCGAGAATGACCCAACGCTGACTGGTCAGCTACCGACAGCATCAAAACACGTGACCATGATGGTCATTTCTGATTGGCTATTAGCTTACATAGGGGTAAGGTTTGACCATGGAAAATTTTGGAGTTGTGTAACAAGTAGCCGAAACTGAAGAAATGGGAAAAATTGCATAACGTGCACCTGACACCTGCAAGGCATGGGAGAATTCAAGCCAATGAAGAAAAATCAAAATATTGAGATTTAAAACAATACAAAATACAATATTTACTTACTTACATTTAAACAAAGAAAACTTAACAGCATTCAACACATAAATGAAATTATTTACATAATTGTTGTTTGTTTCATATCTTTTCTGCTTAAGAATACGGACGGAAGGAAGATATTTTAAAAAAATAATAAAATAAGACAAGAACATTGCAGACATTTATTTATACAAAAATACATATGCATACATGTTGATTAATTCATGTGTCTCTTTGTCATAAAAATATCATTGATGCTTGATTTCTGTCATGTTAATATCTCTGGAATAATGTCAACAATAACAACACAATCTGCTATAACATTGAATGGAAAAAATGACATCAAAGTTAGCCAAGAAGCCAATTTTTTTTTTCATTTTACAATACTGTTTTAGTGTTAGAAGAAAATTAATGCAGATGGTTGTTGTGGACGATAAATTTCTCTTAATCTCCCCTATTTACCCAATATTCATATAAAGCTTACATACATATGTAGCTGTCTGACAATAGGAGTGAAATCATAATATTATAATCTGAAATATATATATTGTGTATATATTAAAAAAAACAACAAGTTATCTGTACTTTTTATAAAATTATTCTAAAATTAGAATTGAAGAAAGAAAATATTTACAATTTCTTTTTATCATGAAAGTATCATTCCTGTTTTGCTCTCAGCAAATTTCAAATGAGAAAATGAGCATTCAAAGAAATCTGGCACCAAGTACTTTTTGTGGGCTAGGATCTTAAAAAAAAAAAAAAAAGAAAAAGCAAAATAAATATGACTGAGTATAATATATTCATGTCACATTTTCAATTTTACAACAAATTACAAATTACTATTCTAAAATATTAATTGTGCAACAAAACATGATTCACAATATTCGACAAAATCAATATGACAGCTATAATGTCCAAGGAAACAGTGTTACCTGACATGTTCAAACATTGACAACCTCTCACCACATTACCACATGGACGAGGATAATTAGGATCCTACCTTCAATTAAAAAAAATAATACTAGTATTACTAACAAATCATCTAGACACCTGAAGCAGCTATGTTTGCAACTCGTGACAATATAACAATTATATTACTCTTTCTTAAGAAATGGTTGACACAGATAAATGATATTTTCCATCAATTTAATGAATATACCAGAAATCGACAAAACTATCCAATTCGTTGAATTATCAATCTCTGGTTTGACAATCAATTTTTTCTAAGTATTCGCAGTTAGTCTTTTTTCTGATATAAATTGTGTCAGATCATTCCAAGACATGTTTGCGTCCTTTAAACGACTGAAAATTTTTATTTCCACAATTTAAAATAAATGATGCTTCCCTGTTATATAAATTTACCAGAAACATCCCTGTTATATAAATTTACCGGAAACATTTTAATCCTTTTGCTCATAAAGTACATTTAGTTCAAACTTACTTATAAAAGGTTTTACATCCACTGCATTGTTACTGTTTCCAGGGCTATAGTTCTGACCTAGGATAAAAAATATGGTTTTTATAATAATTTTATACATACGGTTTATGTTTTAATCTACATTCCAAATAACATACAATTCTGTTTATATTTTATAGATTAATCTTTATAATATTTCACAATCTTACGGATTGTGAACACTCTATTAACAAAAATCTTCTATAGATTTGAAAAGAATACGTTAGCGAGACAAACAAAAACGTTACAAAATTTATATCATGCTGAATTGATTGTGATAACATTGTATTTTAATCTTCCATTCATTCCATTCATAGAGTGATCCAACTTTAAAGTGGAATTCGTTAGCTGATCATTTGCTTCATTTGCTGATCTTCAGGTTAAATAAAAGAACATTGAGCCTATACATACAAAGAATATCGTACACATATAATTATTTTTTAGAAACAACTCACTACCCTCTGGTTCCCAGCATATTGGATATCCAGATGGTGTTTTTGGATAAAGATCCGGTGATTCATGGAGAACCATTCCCATACCATTTGTATTGTGAAGATCAATATGACAGTGAAAAAACCAAGCTCCTGGATTATCAGCCTTAAATCTTATTATGACATATCCTCCGGTAGGAACGATAATGGTGTCCTTCTCTGGTGGGTTTTCTTCTTTAATATCAGGAATCAGTTGAGGATTGGAAGTCCAGCTGCTATTCCTCCAGTTTGCAGAATTACAATAACCTCTATTACCCTGACAAACAATGTCGTCTGTTTCCTTGATAAATTTGGCTGATGTTTTGTCATAAGAACCAAACCCTATTTTATAAACGAAAAAATAGTGACCATGAAGGTGAACTGGATGGGACCAACCTCTTCCATTTCCAATGTTAGTAAGTACAAACTGATAAACTTTTCCGGCCGACAAAGTTATTGAGTAAGTGCATTCACAAATTGAATTAATTCCACATCTGGCACTTGAACATGGAACTTCAACACCGGAAGATTGGACTAAAACCGGAGTGATGGGAAATAGGAATTGATGCCCATTCACAGACCCAGGTGTTTGGCCAGGTTCTCCAGGAAATGCAAAATTAAAAAACATTGTTTCAGAGACACTTTCCACTGTTGAGTAATCAGAGTTCTGTTCATTGCTGTTGGCATAGTCGTATGGAAGACATTTTCTATTATCTGTTTCAGGATAATACATATATGGACAGTTGAATGTTGTGCAAGGACATGGGTTAGGCGTAGCCTTGGTGTTCGGATAATTATATGGGGTATTTTTATACTGAAGTATTGCTTCTGCAGCATGGTATTGTTTGGAGGAAAGAATTTCAATGCTTTCTGCAACCAGCAGGTAGGTTCCTGCTGTTTGTGTTGCATTCAAAATAAAATCGTATCTCTCCCCAGGATGAATAATGAAGGACTCAACAATGATGTCTTTTTTCTCTTTCCCAACGCCTTGGGCGATTTCAAAACCATCTGAGGCACAGATACGTATTTGCGGATGACCTCCAACATAAACTCTAAATGGATATAATGTTGCAGCACTGATAACGCGAAATCTGTATGACTTCCCTTGTTCTACTTCAAAAATGTCCAGGGGAGAACCGTTATTTGTGGTAGAAGTACTAAAATATCTACCCTTACCGTTGATAAGACCTGAATGAAATTGAAATCGACTGAAATTAGCCCCATCAACTGACTGAGTAGGTTCGATTAAAATTCGTTTTGGAATATCATACACTCCATTAAGCATTCGCTGATACAAAGTTTCCGGGTCGTCATCGTGATTCCAGTCTTGTAAAAGAACAGTAAACCCTTGCTGTGGTTGTGAGACAGCTTGACTTCTTGGATAGATGACGAGACCTCCATATAATCCCATGCTGCGCTGGTCTCCAATATGTGCATGGTAAAAACTGGACCCATGTGGACTTGCTCTGAATCTGTAGGTAAACGTTTGTCCCGGTAGGATAGGGCACTGACTTACAAAAGCTACGCCATCAGAATGCGGAGTTCCACGCTGATGCATTCCATGCCAGTGAACAGTAGTAGAATCGGTGTGCATCAAATTACGAACGTGTATAATCATGTTCTGATTTTCGTACGCTTCAATTGTTGGTCCTGGAAATTTTCCGTTGACTGTTATGACAAGACGCGATCCGTAACCATCAGCGGTTATTACATTTTCTGCTACTTCATCACTTACTCGATTTCCATTACTGAAGTTGTGTAATCCTCCATTTTGAGGTAAAACGAGAGAGGCTGTGGGAAGTGGCGTCATCATTGTTAGTCTGTGATCAATGGTGAGAGAACACTCACAGTAATCGTCGATCTCTCTACAAGTATTTTTCTTACATGTAGGTCCATCCTCGGGACTTTTCCAGTAACCCTGTCCTTCGCATTTAATTACCAATGATGTTAAAATGATGAGAACTCTAAAACATATTAAATCAGTTTAAAGATACATTGATGAAAATATTTCAGCAAAAATGTTTACAATCAAAATTATAACTACACTAGAGTGTTAATTCCAAATAACGCACGTGTCGGCTGCTATAGCTTCATATGTATATAAATAAATCTAAGAGTGGTCAACTATTCATTTGCATATAAGTATTATCGCTCATGCATTAACCTGCAAAGAAAAACATGTCCGCAGATAGATAGAATAGCATCAACAAAAGGATGTCAATCAAACATAAGTATGATCTTTCAACCTTCAAAACTAAATTGAATAATGAAATTGATATTATAAAAAATATTTATTTTTGTTTCCATTGTTTTGTTCAAAAATCCCTCAAATTCGTAACAAGAAAGAGATCTCAATCTGTCTTTTCTGCAATTGTCACGCTACAACTTTTGGGGTCACCTGAGTCACTCAGGTGACGTATTGCTATCTATTTTGTCCGTCGTCTGTCGTTCGTAAACTTTTGGAAAATTTCAGCTTCTTCTCTGGAACCACGGAATCAATTTCAACCAATTTTGGTATAAAGTATCTATGGGTAAAGGGGTACAAAAATCGTGACAATTATGGCCCGTGCCCCCCCCCCAGGGGCCTGAGGGGTTGAGCTAAAGCTTTAGAAATTACTGCAATCTTTAAAAACCTTCCTCTTTATTCATGAAGATGAAGTCAAACTGTTAGCATAATTGTAATAAGCATTGAGCCCTCTACCAAAATTGTGAAATTCATGACCCCAGGGTCAGGGGTTCTGGTACTAGGGCGAGATTCTGTTAAGTATATAGTAAAAATGCATTATTATTTAAAAAAATCTTCTCCTTTGCTCCTGTGTGCCTATTCCAAAATTGTGAATTTATTTAATGGCCACTGATGTTAGGGCGGGGCTCTATTGATTATATATTGAAAAATGCATTAATTCTTTAAAATTTTTCTCCTCTGCTACTGGGTATTAAGCAAACAAACTAAATACATAGTATTGATGAACAATTGTGCTTCTTCCAAAAATGTGTATATCTTGTATATCTTGGTTCTGGAGTTTGGGTGGGGCTCAAATGATTATATAGCTCCTGGGTATTAAGCCGATGAACTAACTGCATAGTTATGATGAGCAAGGGTGCCTCTCCCAACATTGTGAATTTCATGGCCCCGGGGTGAGAGGTTCTTGTGTTTGCTAGGGACTCTAATGATTAAATAGCGAAAATGCATTAATGCTTTGAAAATCCTCTCTGACCCTGAGTATTAAGCTAACAAACTAAATGAAATAATATAAATATAAATTAATGTGCCTCTTTCCTGGGTATATAGGAGGCAAACAGAGTTCAAATTGAGTTACTACTCCCCTTTGCTAAATTGTTTTTATCAAGAAATCCTTTTATATAATTTAATTAACAGGTTATTTGTTTGAATGAGAATACAAGAAATATCTATCTATCTATCTATCTATCTATCTATCTATCTATATATATATATATATATATATATATATATATATATATATATATATATATATATATATATATATATATATATATATATATATATATATATATATATATATATATATACAGTGTATATATATATAACAAAATAAAATGAATGTTTGCTTTAAATGAGCAAAGCATGTTAAAATTCGAATTCTTGCCTGTAAAGCAGTATTAAAGATTAAAATAAAGTTTCTGTAGCAAAATGGCCAATTGTATAGAGTATGCATACACTAGTCTTAGGAAAAACTGTGCACATGCTAATAAGAGCAGACTTATCTCTCAAATATTCAAAATATGTTGTATATCAGCATTAGGAACTATTTTAAAAGTAGGTCAAAGGTTAGTTTGAAAGGTAACCAGGTTGGTAAACATGGCATTTTACTAAAGACATGATGCCCAGCAATATATGACCAAAATATTTAATCTATACTTCCTACAGTTTTCAAAGGTGTGACAGACGAACGGACGGACAGACAGACGCCTGGTAAAGTGATCCCTAGGTGTCTCTCTGCTCTGCAGGCGACACAAAAAAATGTTTCCTAACTGGACCCAAACCAAAATTTTAAGTTGGGTAGGTAGGTAAATATTCTTTTTTCTGGTATTTTTTTAAAAAACACATTTAATATGATTGTTCAATTTAAAGGTTGACACATATGTTTGATAAGATATTGCGGTTTTCAGTAAAAGTTCTCATCGAGACAGTTTCATATCGACAGGTAAAAAAGGTATCATTGAGTCAGTTTCATATCGACAGAAATTGAACATTATTTGTATTTGGTCTTATTTATCCACACTGCGACATTTTAGATGTATACAAAGTTAATTCAGTTCAAATCTCAGCAAATCATTCATTTCACACAGCGACATCTTGGATGATATACATATAACTTGAAGCACAAAGTTTGTGTGAAATAACGACCTCCTCAGATTAAGATATTTTTGATGATTGTTAAATATGGAGACATCGAACAGTAATTAAGCCCAAAAGTTCATTGAAACAATACAAGTTTGGAGCAGAGCAAACACGGACCTCTAATAAGGTGTGAGGTGGGATCAGGTGCCACTGACGAGTAAGCATCACCTGTCAACCGGTCACATCCACCATGTGTTCCTTGTCATGACCGGGAAAACAAAAAAATCCAAAAAAAAAAAAGATAGACAATTTAGTGTGAAAATAATGGCTTAACAATTTGTATGAGGACGAAAGTCGACATTCTACTTAATTATAGATTGTATTTGCTGATAAGGTCATTGTATCGACCATGGAATTTGCGAACTGTTGACTTTAAACGAGATTCTGATATTTTTGTTTCGTCAACTTAATTGTCAATAGCTTACCTCTTTAAGAAACTGTTTGTACGTAGATCATGTTCTTGCATATCGAATTAACTGGGAGTTATAAACTCTATATGCTGGTGATAATGGTATATATTGCTACATAGATACATGTATATAAGGGAAGTTGACGATAGAAAAGTTGAAATCATCACGTTTAACAGAAAGTTTTGTTGTTAGGTTATCATCAACGTCTTTTTCTGGTAAAATTCCCAAATATGAAATAGATGTGTCAGACTCTGGTGGTATCTTTCATTTTAAGTTCAAAGGGATATATCGAATCCGTAGCAATGGAAATGAATATTGTTAATTGATAAAACGTCGTCGATATATCTAAATGTTGAATTGAAGGCCACAGTAAGAGACTTCTTTCCATGTAGAAATTTTTAAATAAATCCTGCTTCATATCAATACAAAAATATATCTACTTATAAATACGAAATAAGTACTCATGGGAATTCCGATAGATTATTATCTCCAAACACTACATAGATATTGTCAATCAGAATTTCAAGCTTTTTTTTATATCAACTTCGGAGTACTTTTGTGTGCAATCAGAATGCTTTTTAACGAAACATTTTTGCAAATGACCATTGACAAGGTAAGTTAATATACGAGTTCCATTTGTATTGAAAAAGCAGCTGTCTATGATATGAAAAAGCATGGACTTTAATTTATCGTGGTGAATTGTTGTATAAAGTGTTGAAAGTCTTACTTTTTGATGTTATCGATTTTTGTAAAATTTTGTGATTTTCAATTTTATAAGGGTTCCTTTCAGTTTTTAAGCATCCAAATCTGATTTTCACCACTTGCGCCCTCTTGTTAGCAGACCTATTTTTGTATTCATATGAAACAGAATTTATTCAAAAACTTCTACACGAGAAGAAGAAAACACTTGCTGTGGCCTTCAACTTGACATTTATATAATACGCCGACGTATTATCAATTAACAATAGTTTATGTCTCCCAGTTGATTCGATGTTCTACGTATGAACAATTTCAATGTAAATTTAATTTAACAAAATTGGAAAAGAGAAAAGCTATTGACAAACAAGTTGATGAAACAAGGATATCAACAGTCTCGTTTGAACTCTCGTTTGAACTCATCATTTTGCAAGTTTTATGTCGAAACAATTACCTTGTCAGCAATTTAATACAACCTATCATTAAGTCAAATACTGACTGACGTTTTTCATACTAAATGTTAAGCCATTATTTACACACTGAATTGTCTACGGAATTGTTCCGTTTTTCATGATCATGACAAGGAGCACACGGCGGGTGTGAACGGTCTGCAGGGGATGCTCATCCTTCGTGGTACTTGGTCCCACCTCTGATGTTTTGTAGGTCCGTGTTTGCGCTGTTCCCGATTTGTATTGTCTAGATGGACTTTGAATACTGTTCGTTAACTCAATATTTCATTCTCGAATATCCTGTTGATGATGCTATAACATTACTCCTGAAGTTTCTCCTTCACAGCTGTTAATATTTTAGTGAGGCGTAAGGAAACATTCATTGAAACACACTATGTATCTTTGTTCGTAAGGATCTCGTATTTATTTTGGAATTTAGTATAGGTATGGTAATTCAAAAAAAGACCCATCACATTCACATTCCTACACTGTGGACTTGAAAGATTCCAAAAACTATCGACATTGTCATGATTTTTACCATACGGAAAGACCATGCCTATTTTCCTAAACCAATATCCTTCTCATTGTCTACAGAAGGGACCTGTACCTAACGATGGATCATTAGTATGATGGTATTTTTTTTTTCTAAAATTGTAACTTTCATTGACAAAATAGAATGATCAGTTTTATTAAAGTCTTCCTACTAGGTTAGGTTGCCTAATGTATTTTATCAAATTCATTTATTATTTAGTATTTTTTTTTGTTCTGGTGCTCACTGTATCACAGAAATGATGGTATGGCATGTCACGCGGGAATTAAAGAAAAACTAATATTTCATTCAAAAATATTTTTTAACAAATTTTATTTGGTTGCATGTGACTTGCATTATTGCTAGCGGCACTGCAAAGCTTTTCAAACATCTGATATATATATAATTACGTAATTGTTATGGGTGACTTTATTATATCTGATAATACAAATTCGTTGAATTTTAGACCTCGGAAACTTGTGATATTTACATTACCTGGATTTCAAAAAACATTTTCTGATAGCGTTATCTTTCTTGAGTAGAAACGCTATTTTTTTTTTTTCTTTTAAATGGGTCATCTTTTTAAAATATTTGCAATGGAGCGAACTTTGACTTTTTGACTGTGGGTATTAAGATTAGTAAGGTAAACAGATTTAATCAAGTTATTTAATAAGAATTTCTAAACATTCATTGTAAGATCAATATATTTTTTCCAATTTTGTTAAATTAAATTTACATTGAAATTTTGAAAAGTATTGTTTATTAAGAATTAGCAGCGACACTGAGAATAAACAAAATTGACACACGTTTTGTTGGATGAGTTGCGCGAATGAAGATCCCACCTCATCCATCGTTGTTGAAAAAACGAGCAGATAAGGCAATGCATAGGATCTTTGTATTTAATTAAAATACATGCAATCAAAGCTTAATTATCAATGAAAAATGAGCTTTTATGTATTATACTAAACTGAAACGCATGCCATCAAAGCCATAAGAATCCGCCATGAGTGAAGTATTTTAAGAAAATGAAACAAGGCGTATCAATTACGTATTAGATTACATAATTTGAACCCTGGTGAGGCAGAACCTTTCCAAGTACTTGAACTATATATCTACAGGTACTATAAATAATTAATTTTATAAATAAATTATTTTTTTTATATGTAAGCAATTGGCCATGACGATCGTAGGGTTCTAAACATATGTACATGTAATATGTCTGGAATGGTTGATGCTTGTAAAAAAAAAATAAAAGACTACTGATGAAAAAAAATTATGAATAATTTTGATAATTATATCAGTATTTTATGAATTATAACACTTTTGTTGAAAAGCAATAAAATTATCAAAAACTTAAATGTGATGAATTTTACAAACTAAAAGCACTTTTATAACGCGTAAGAAAAACAACAGAATAATAACCTACGTTATTAACCAGATTAACCCAATTTTCACATTGTTTCTATCTGGTAGTTTGTAGACAATTGCATAAATATACATATAATTTAAGACCGACAAAGGAACAATCCAGTGTAATAAATAAAATTAATCAAAAGAATATCTAATGACAATCTCCAGTAAGCATCGAAAAGAGACAGATATACACGCACGAAGAAGTGAAAAATTTTGAGACTCTGATCAAGTCTTATCGTAATTGCTTACGTTTAACAAAACTTGATTTGGGTAGTTAGTAAATGATTAAAAATCGAAATAATGTATCGTGTCCCGCCTTTCATAGTAGACAAATGGACAGATGCACTAGTATAGAAGTGCAGAAAAGGATTACACGGACATGTCTGTATTTGGAATTGCATGGAATAAAAAACTGAATGCATAAAGAATAAAGGAAGTAAACACATCAAAAGTTTTCATCAGTAACAGATTATTTCTTCTGCTAACAGTTATTGTTAAAACTCAAGTAACAAATTCCGATGTGAATCTGCTTGCACAAAATTTGTCTGGCTAGCTTTCATCCTATAATTCCGTAATATGAAAAAAAATTAACCTGCCTGACGCTCTTTACGTCAGGCAATGAGTGAAAATAAACATCGATGATGGCTGGTACTTCAATGCGCTGGGTTTAATCCCGACAATGTCCGATTTTTAGCTTAAATTTACGTTTTAATCTTTTTAAATGATGTTTGAATTTTTTTCTGTGTGAATTCTCCGCTATTTCCATTTTTTTTTATCAATAAAAAATCTTTAAACTCATTGGGGTTTTCTAAGACCCACGTTATATTTTTAGGTGTCTTCACTACAAGTACATATAAATTAATTTCACATGCAAAGAATATCTTATATAAGGATGGTTATTCGGACGGAAGACCTCTCGTTGCTCGCAACGAGTATCTGGAATTGAGATAATTGTTTGATGGGTGCTATTACCTATTATACAAATCGTCTTAAACAGGAAAATTCTGTTTTGGAATTAAAAAAGATTCATTAGTTAATGACAATATTGTGTATATATCCCCTCCTCGTTTCTAAACGGAAAGAATTACGATCTCAAAAACGTGGCTTCGGGGAATACCTCGGCTTCTCTATTTTTTTCTTATAATTTTACGTCTTTTTTTTCTTAATTCTACATATTTTTTGTCCCGAAATGTAGATACTACTTTTCCAAATTAAAACAAGTTTTTCGGGACACAAGGTATATGATAAAACTGTATGAAAAGAAGATGGGTGAACAAGGCCAGCGAAGTGCCTATAGTGCGACAAACATGAAAAAAAAGTGAAAAATAAAATCTCAATTATATAAAAATTTTCATTGATATTTCATCTAACATTAAAGAATACATTATGCAAAACCTCTACAATTTACAAAAATCTCACAAAGACAGAAAATTTTGCCTACGAAATAGCATACACACACTAAAGAGGACAAAAAGGATCATTTTCTCACACTTTAACAAAATTTTTCGATATGAGTGGGTCTTCGCTCCATTTTTTTGAAAGTTAATCCTAAAAGTTTGCATAAAAATATACATTTTTTGGTTTACAAAAACATGGAGCAAAGACCCACTCTACCTTAAAAGTACACTTTTATGACAAAGCATTCGCATCTTTCCGAGAAGTACTTGAAGTCCATTAAGTCAAGGATCATATCACAAACATGATTTAAATGCCACTATTCATCAGTAGCTGTGTAGCGTAGTGATTAGCGTGTTAGTCTTATAGCAATATGATACTCCGGATTTTTATTATGAGGGGGTTCGAATCCCACGAATACTATTTTATTTTTTTTAATAAAAGAATAATTTTTTCCCGAGATCTTTTTTCTCAGAAAAGTTTTGTTGATCATAATTCCATAAATTTCAATAATGAGAACTTTTCTTTAAATACTTAATTCACAAATTGAATATGATTTTTTTTTAATATCTGA